TGGGGTTATACGAGAAAACGTGGATGACAACAAGGGAGTAGTAATCGTATTATCGACGCAATCCGAAATCCAAAAATGCTTTCACTGCATAGATACTTTTTTTAGTATTAAACTATAACCATCTGGGGTATTTCCAAATGACGACATCTGATGAGTTCCGCCCTTCTTTTTGTCTGTTTGTTTAGGCTGAGGAAATTAATTAACATGCGCCCTTTGTCGAAATCTTTATAGATCACAGTTAACCAATCAGTGTTTATGCAAAAATTCGTAAAACAAATATTGCCTCCAGCCTCCAAGTTTATTTTGCTGTCCTTGCAGACGGTAGCCCAGTCTCTGGTCACGCTCAGTTGCATTGCGTATCATCCGGGTACTCACGGGGAAAAAACAATAACAAAGGCAACAACCAGTCCGGGGAATTGCGTTAGATCAGGGCCCCTTTAATCATTCTCACAGAGTACAGGGAGTATATGAAATAAGACAGTGAGTCACATTAGCATACAAAGTATCCAGTTAAAGTAAACATATTTCTACATTATATACATAAGCAAATACTAACATATGATAGACAGGGTACTTGTCCTATAAAAATATAATTACACATTTACTTACATGTTGGCTATAAAAGTTAATGTGTCACATGTGAGTGGCTTACATGTGGTAAATGACTTTAATACGTGATCATTGTAATATTCACATATTCCTTACCTTAATGTGTCACATGACCTCAGCTGCATTCTCAATATTTGGCCAATTTTGACGAAATGACCGATCGTGTTCAGTGTATAAGCTGGGCCTCGTCATCCGGGGTTTTGGAAAGGGATACTTAAGCTCGTGCGTGCCGCACTGATGTGGGACATCCACCCAGTACCTCTAGACACCCAGGTAGCATGCCATCATCGGCCCTGCATTGGCCCAACGTCGGCTACACCATCAGCCCAACGTCGGCAAACTTCATCGGCCCTGCATCGGCACTGCATCGGCCCAGCATCGGCCGAGCATCGGCAAACATCGTTGGGCCGATAAAGTTTTGCTCATCAGTTCTACATCGGCCCAACGTCGACAAACTTCATCGGCCCTGCATCAGCAATGCACCGGCACAGGATTGGTCCAGCGTCGGCAAACATTGTCAGGCCGATGAAGTTTTGCTCATCGGATGGACATCGGCCCAACGTCGTAAATAGTTATAGTTACAGTTATCTCTTCTTTGCTCATTTACAATGGCAGTTGGGATGTTCAGTATTTTTACCCTTCAAAATATTTGATGGCAGTTCTTGATTTTCTTCAAAATAAATACATAAAGTATGAAACAAATTGCAATTTGCAATAATCATTTACAATTATCGATATCTTCAAAAAATGTAAAAAACACCAAAACTTAAATTGTTAACGCTTTTCGTTAGTTTTTTCATCTGCCATTGTCTTAAATAGGGTGATGTCATCAGAAGTCATAACTGACAACATCTCATCTTAATATTTCATGTAAATGATGCCACAATAGAACTTTTCCAAGTGTAGTGTTAGGGTACATAAAACTAAACATTTCTAAAAGCAGTACTATTTTTTATGTACCCTAATACATGTGTAGTTAATACTTATAAATAAACACAAAGAGCAAAATAGAATAATAAACTTTATTATTAATTTATTATTATTTACAAGAAAACAGTGTTACTACCTGCAACAAGGCGGATGTGAAACATATATACTCAAAACCAGTTTTAAGACAGTCTAAACATATACCCCTCATATTGGCCTGCAAAATTTCATTTATGTGGCTTCAAATTTGTTTGCGAGACAAACTTTCCCCCCCCCCATTTCATCAAGTTAAAAAAGCATGAAGCAAAGGCCATAACTCCATACAAAATAAGTTCTTATAACCATCTTTTGGAGTTTGTACCTTAGATAAGCACGGGAAGTTTCATTTATTAACTTCAGTAGTGTCCAAGAGAACCTGGCAGTATATGTACCAAGTTCATAAACAAGGGACATAACCCTGGGAAAAATATGTTGTCAACACCAACTTTTTGGATTTCTTTGTTCTGTTGCAATTCAGTACCTTTGTTTGCAGATTCTCTATCTGCACCTCTGTTTTTCAGTACGCGTTTTCCTTATGCCATTTCTAAGCCTTGCTCCTGGAACTCGAAGCCATTCTTTTACACAGGTCACCATGTACTTGTCAGTGGCTTGTAAGAGCCCAGCTGCAGGCTTCCTCCTCAGCTTCTGTTTACAAATGATAGCAAAAAATGTCAGTGTGCATATTATAAGTCATTGCATGCACTCTCACAGTTACAAGTAATGGACTTCACAAGTGTGTCAAAACAAGTTATTGATAACATAATGGAATAATAGATGGGTAATACCCTGTTCACATGCACCACCTTACATATGTGTGTATATATTATTTAAATTAAGTCTTGACACCTGTTAATAAATACAGGGTTCACTCAAGGAATTTTCTGCCATGGGCCCTTTATGTGACAATTTCATATATTCCCTTGGTACACCTGCACTTGCCCATATAGCACAATGTTAAAATGCCCCATTGTATTTGAAAATGTGGGCCTTTTTCCAAATTTAGGGGCTAAAAGCAGAAGGCCCCACCCAAGAATTATCGGAAGTCCAGTAAGTAAATTGATGAGTTTATAATATGTGTAAATAAGTAAATTGAATTTTGTGTAATTATATACGCAAATAACCCCTCCCAATATTGCATGGTAGATCCCTAATGATCTGTTTCTTATGTCAATTAAAAAAGATTTTATAACTGACATATCACCCTATTAATTTAGCCCAATAAACATCCCCAATAACCACATGATAACCCCCCTCCTCCAATATTGCTGGCAAACAGTTTTAGGTGTGCAATCTCTCTTGTATGTCCATCAAAAGTAAGTCAGCATGAAATTTCATTTGGAAGATTACCATAGTAAGTGTCAGGGGCCCTTAATAGGGCAAACATGATAATAAATATATGCTTATAAATATTTCAATCAGAAACATGTATCAGTTGGTTAGGGTTTGTTGTTTAACGCCTCACTCAGCAATATTCCAGCTATATGATGGCGGTCTGTAAATAATGGAATCTGGACCAGACAATCCAGTGATTAATATCATGAGCATCAATCCACGCAATTGGGATCGATGACATGCATCAACCAAGTGAGAGAGCCTCACCTCCCGATCCCATTAGTCGCCTCATACGACAAGCATAGTTGCCTTTTACGGCAAGCATGTGTTGCTGAAGATATCTTCTACCCCGGATCTTCAATATGTATCAAACTTGGAGTAAATATCCCATACTTGATACATCTAAAGAAATTGAATCCACTCACCAGTACTCTCTCAGTTGCTCGATTTTGGAAAAGCTGCTAAGAGTTCATTCAGCTCATCCATGTTTGCCAATAGGCAATGGCTGAACGTCTGGTTTTCTTAAATAGAAATATAAGAATATTATATATCAAGTTTGTGTAGCAGCAGTGAGCACTTATCTATTATGATGATGATGTCAAAAGGTTGATAGGAATATTGCTCAAAACATAAAAGTAACATTTAAATAAAGCTTTGGCCATACACATATATCAGGTCCTTTCCTTCATACATCTTATCTCGTATATTTGCACTTGTACATACAGTCCTTATCTGGAGCCATGTAGCAGAAATAATTTCCCAGGGAAAGTAGTTTCACTTTAATAGCCATAGCCCCATCCATTGAAAAGCAGTGAGAAAATCCCTATATTGACATAATATTGAACAGATCCTGTGAAGTCTGGTTACCACAAAACAGATTTCATTTATTATATGATACCATATATAAGTAGATTACCGGTACATCATGGTAAACCAAAACTGCAAATAAACGTTTATTATTAAAAGATCAGATACAACGGTATGTACATATTACAAACACTTGTATCCAAAAAAATAGCAGGAAAGTATTAGGGACAAGTAATTTTATGCACAGTTTCATTGCTTGTAAACATAGAAAAGGGATAATGATAAACTGAAATAATATCTCTTTAGTTAGAATAAATCAAATTTGAAACAAGGCTCTGGGTGTTTTTCTACAATGGATAATCATAATGTCCTGAAAAATCTGTACTGAAGTATCTATTCTTCCTCATCAAAGTTTTACCATTAATTTGAATTTTGATTAAATAAATGACATTTTAAATTGTCTTGTAATATTTATTTCGCATCAATTACCTTTGAAATAGTACATTAAAAAAAATTAATTCAGTATTACATCACAAATGTACATCATAAAGTCGAGGAACAACTGTACGGTAAAATTAAGAATATAATTACTCAGTTTTAACTTTACTCTTTTGTAGTTAATATCTGCTAAATATAAACTAATAATCCATTCTGAAATAGCCATATCTCAAAACCTTAATCGATCGATACAGATACCATACATCAGTATAACTATAAGATCGATACCGTATATGAGTCATTTTCAAAATTTGTGAGATATTTCGTACCTATGATTTTCAAAAAAGGAATATTTCTTTTCCTTGATTAAGGTTTACAAGTCAAAACAGAATATGTTTTAGAGTTAAGGTGGAGAGTTTGCAACCTTAATGAATCCTAGTATTGCATTTGTAGACATTTAAAAACGTAAAATGCAAATTATAAGTCACTACTGTTACATGATTTAAAGTAGGGATTTATTTTTAATTGTCAGTTGAGCTGAGTTTTTTTAGTGACCATATCCTTTTCTGTGAAAAGTTCTACACAGAAAAGTTCCAAGAAACCAAATTGAAGATAATATAAGAAACTGATGATAAGATTTGGTTTGTTAATTTACATTTTGATAAAATTTGAAGGTATCACACAAGTCTTCTTGTGCTAAAACATCCTTTGTTCTGGCATATTTCTTTTATAACATACAATTACATACTTATTTATCTGATAATAACAGATAAAACAATTTTTTTAAAGAATCTTATCAATATTTACTATAATTTAGGCTGATAACAGTAGTGACATGGCATGTAACAGTAGTGACAAGCATAACAGTAGTGACTTTTTTGCACAAGAGGAATTGTAATATGACTGCCACATTCCACCTTGTAACGCAACAAACATGGGTATCAAAAACAAACACATCATATCAATTGAATAAACTTTAATTTGAATACAAAAACCTCTGTCTCGCTAGTCACCATGTCAGTTTTACATGACAAAACACCTGTTGTAGAAGGAATGTTAGGTAACTCTCAGAACCACATAAACATTATTATGGGATTATCTTCTGTCCCCTCTCTGTGTTACATAATGTAACTAGTGTTACATACGGAAAGGACTTTAACACGGTCCAAAAACAACTTCTAATTTTGATAACATCATTAACAATTATGAAACAGGAATTATGATATTTGCCTTGTAAATGTGTTTACAGACATGTGTATTTCTATTTGCGTCTGTCAAGGCGTTCTTTAAATCTTTCCCACATGTTGGTAGGAACCGAGAAGTGTCTTGTGTTTTGAGGGATTAGCTTGGGAATAATGCCAAGTATATTGTCAAACATATACCAGCAGTGGTCTTTCATTCTTGGCCAGAAGAAAAGATTGTCATTTCTCCCAACATAGTGCATGGACTCAATGAAGAGTTCACCTTCACCTGTATCAATGATTTTGCCAGGATATGGCATTCCATCATAGATCAAACAGACCAAATTTCCAAGACTTTGTTGGGGCTTGCTTTGAAAAAGCTCCTGCAAATCTTCTTCTGCATCAACTTCAGGACTATTCTTGAGTTCAGAAATGGCTCGACCATCCTGCTCCATGCGTTCATTGGGAATCACTGGTGTCATCTCATCTTCTGCATCAACTTCAGGACTATTCTTGAGTTCAGAAGTGGCTCGACCATCCTGCTCCATGCGTTCATTGGGAATCACTGGTGTCATCTCATCTTCTGCATCAACTTCAGGACTATTCTTGAGTTCAGAAATGGCTCGACCATCCTGCTCCATGCGTTCATTGGGAATCACTGGTGTCATCTCATCTTCTGCATCAACTTCAGGACTATTCTTGAGTTCAGAAATGGCTCGACCATCCTGCTCCATGCGTTCATTGGGAATCACTGGTGTCATCTCATCTTCTGCATCAACTTCAGGACTATTCTTGAGTTCAGAAGTGGCTTGGCTGTTCTGCTCCATGTGTTCGTTGGGAACCATTGGTGTCATCTCATCTTCAGGACTATTCTCCATGATGTCATCTGGTGGTTCTCCTGTATATGTCTGTCTGGCTGAGGAAGAGTCCGCTTTACTTGAATCAATAGGAAGTAAGGGTACGAAGTGGTTTGGAAGCCAATTAGATGACCTCATATCCTTCCTTGTCGAACACCACATGATAAGTTTGGTATCACTGCCCTCACTTTGTCTTGGACTAATTTGTCTATGAAGATCACTTCTGACCTGTTTGTTGCCTTTATTTGGGTATACAGAATACAACTTTGTTTTCAGAATGGTGGACAATGCAAACATCTGCCATATTCCCATGTAGGAGCCAGGTTTAGTAATTGCAAGAATTTCATTCTCATAAATTGTTTCTATTGTTGAAGATGTCAGTTCAATGCCTGGGATGAAGTGATCAGAATACATTGCAAACTGCTTTGGTAAGGACCTTGATGATGGCGGAGTGATTCCTTGACACATGTAGTCATTGGACAGATACAAGTTCTTGTTCAAAACCTGTTCAGTGATGATTCTAGCTCTGATTTCAAACACATGATTTTCATTTCCAAAGGCAAACACACTACCACAGTGAGGCAGACAATTTCCATCTGCTGAAACTCTAACAGGATAAAGAATGTCTGTACCTGGAAAATCACTTGGCATCTCATCAATGACGTTCATATCAACGCATAAACCTGATTTTAATATGTCAACCTTGTTGAGGGATGTGATGTGGTAAGTATCGTTTTTCTCAACTTGAGAACACAATGATGCAAGTTTTGCAAAAGTTGAACATTTGTTCATTGCTGATAGTATTTGGGAGAAATGAGCTTCTCGAGAGTCAACACTTTTGTTTTTCAGGTCACCTTTTCTTGATCTCAGAGATATTCCATCAACATTTGAAGACATGTTTTCCTTTCCCTGGGCTTTTGGTGTTTTTGCCTCAGCATCCTTTCCATACTTTACAGATTCAAAGGAAAACTGTTTTAATTCATGCCCCTTGCATACAGCTGAGACACATGTACAACTGATATCCCTGTAGGATATATTCTGAGGGCAAGATGTAAGCACTTGGTGTATTTTCATTGTCCCTGGAACAGGTGGTAGTTTCTTCAACACCAAACCTTGGTCAGCTTTGTTGATACTTTCAGAAGTGATGTGGTACAACAGAATTTTAGAACCTGTGTTCAATAATTCACTGACAAAAGTCTGTGCATTGGTTATGTCATGGCCATGCAAAACAAGTCTATCAGCTGAACGTTTAAGGGAGCCACCAACAGCGTCAGGAATGCCTTTTCCATGTCCTGATTCATTGAAATTCCAGGTGGATGAAGTAAACCCATTTTGAAAAGGTATAGTGCTGAACAGAAAAAAGTTTCCTTTCTGACGGTACTGTGTGACTGGTCCATCACTGAAGAAGTGAATTGTTTCAACTTGTGGATTTGTTCCTCTAATCTCTTCCAGAACTGGTTTCATGTGTGTCCATACTGCTTGCGGTCCATGGTTTAGGGAATCAGATGCCGTGCAAAATGTGTGAGGATCAGTGCTACCTCCTATGTAAAACACACCTGTGTGAAGTGTTATTTGTGTCTTGCTTGCACCAAAGTGCATACTCTGCACCTCTGAGGACATTTTCCCATAGTAATTTTCAGAAAAGTCAACATGCACAAGGCATTCTTTGACACTCATGTTTTGGACTTTGTCTCTGTAAAATGCATACTGATTGGCAATGTTAAAAGAATGTATCTTGTATCGGGCCATATGTTGATAAAGATTGTCCCTCAAATCTGCAATTGTACCCTCTTCCACTTCTTTCACTGTAATAGCAACTTCTTTTCTTTCAATCTCACCACCATGCTTTACTGATCTCACCTCCTTCTTTGTTTTCCACTGAAGCCATGTTGTAGGTTCATTAATGTCCCGATTCTTTATGGGAATTGTGACATCTTTACAAGATGAACACTCTCCATACATACAGGCTTTTTCCATCACGTCACAGGAAAATGTTTTTAACAGCTCTGTTGGACTTGATGTCTTGACTACTCCAAGTGAGTGCAATTTCTTTACAACAAGTCTTGTGTTTTCATGCATCTTACACATGCAGGTGTCTCTGTCTCTCTGAGTTGGTGGCTTTATCCAAAATGGCCTCAATCTGCTGAAAGACGTGTAGCTTATCTTCTCCTTAGGATGTTCAGTTTTATATTTCCGGTATATGTTCAGTATGGAATCCAAGAGTAGATGCTTTTGTTTCTTAACTTTGTTTTTTGTGACTGTTTGCTTCTGCCCTGGAATAATATGACTGTTGTCAGAGCGCTGGTAAAAGGCATGTATCTTATGTTTTAGCCTTTGTGAATAACAAACGGATCTCCTTTTTCCTTGGTACAATTTGGCTGAAGACAACCCAAGAATACTTATTGCCTTTGCACGAAACTTGTACTTCCTTAAGATGTTTCCAGACACAATTGAGGTTAAAGATTTCTTCATCTTTCCATTTCCTTTCTTGTAGCTGGTCTTTAGTTCCTCCAAGAGAGCGTGGTGAAAATCCAAGGTTTTTTTTACAGTTTTCACAGACCCTGTTCGAAGTATGTTTTTGCTTCTGGATCTTGGTGTTTCAGACAGTTTGTTACTCTTCAGAGATCGATGTAATTTCTGCCTCAAAAGTGAATTTCGTTTCCTTTCAAATTGAAGTTTACTTCTCAAATAATCATTTTGTTTGTAGCACCTGTTCATGACCATTTTCCGTTTGCTTTCGCTCACTCTCTTCTGTCTTGAACTCTGAGCTTGGATGGGCGGTGGACTTTCTGGAGACATTGGAGGTGTCATAAAAATTTTCCTATTTTTCTCTCTGGCTCTTTGATCTCTTTTTCTTTGTGTCCACTTTCTCCTCGTTATCCTCTTTCCTCTCTCAGTTTCTGAGCCTATGCTGATTTGGTTTTTCTTATTTCTCAATTTTTCTTTCAACAGGTACTGTCTCCTTCTTTCAGGGTCTTGATCTCTCCTTTGTCTGTAACGCCTTTGGCGTTCCGCCGCACTCATGCCCATCTTCAGTTTTATGGCACTGAAAAAGCCAAATGAATGGTTGAAAACATATAACATTTAAAGAAAATGTCACAACAGTTGAACAAACATGTATTAACTGACTGGAGAAACTATGATGACAATTAAATCAAAGCCATCAGAGTCTTCTGAAATATTACAAGAAAAACATACACAATATTCATAGACATGTCCAACTGAATAAATTCGGTCTCAAGTTAGCTTATCTCTAATCATAAAAAAAACTCTGTCACTTTTGAAAATGAACTTATTTATAACCAGTTTTGTCAAAACCCTTATAACCCTTTGTCACTACTGTTACATTTTAGGACCCAACTGTTACAGAACCACTAAACCCATTTTATTGGAAAAAATATGTCTACCAATCAGGCAGTTCAAGTCAATTTTTTTAAACTTTAAAAAGATATGTTTTAAACACCTATTAAGATTAAGAAACACTAAGTTACAAGATATTCATTCAAATTGTTAAAACCCCAAGTCACTACTGTTACAATTCAGTGTCACCACTGTTACATATAAATTTTCAAGCAAAACTATAAGTGATTTAATGAAATCTGAAACAGTTTTTGTGAAATAGTTTTTAATGAGAAATGCAACTTTGAAAGTATTTGTAAGGAATTGAAAATTTAATCTCCAAAACCATTTCCTTACAACATTAAATCAATTGTCACAACTATTACATTTTCTGTCCCCACTGTTACAAAACAACAAAAACACAGGAGATTGGAACACTTATGTCAATTAGTTAACACAAATCTGACAAACTATGTCCAACTTATATTATTCTTCCAAAACAGCTATGAAAGTAAGATTACACTTTTATCAATACACTTTTATCAAAATGTGTCACAGATTTCTAAATCTGTAGTCACTACTGTTACAATTAAGTGTCCCTACTGTTACAAGTATTTGAAATACCCATTACTGCTTGAATCACGATTGTCATTCTGCTAATTTTGAAAATAAATTCTTAAAACTTAATTGAAACAAAGTATATTAGTTTGATTTGTTATGTAAGTAAAGCAGAAACTGTATTTAGAACCATTTCAGTCACAACTGTTACCATCCTTCGTCACTACTGTTATTTTGCCTTGTCCCTACTGTTACAGATACTTGCTCTATTGCCTGTTTTTTGGCCCTGCATTTTTGCACTTTGCAAGACCTTTCAAGCAAAATCATTGTATTCACTGTGGTAATTATCTGTACAAACTCTCCTGAATTATTCTTTCAAAGTTCCTCTAGAATACTAGTTCAACTGACGATATGTCCTCACTGTTACAATTTCTGTCCCCACTGTTACATTTTAAGACAAATGACACTGTAACAGTAGTGACCATAACAGTTGTGACAAATCACTGAACTTTCATTTCTAAAACAATGATTGGTCCCCTAGGATCAAAAGGCACATGCTTCTCAAACTCTGCACAAAGTGTAAAATCATTACACACATGCACACAAAAATTGTATGACATAGGTTTTGTTTTAAGTCCAGTAACAGTAGTGACATATAAAAACATGAGATATGAGAAATGACTCACCTTATGTCTTGTAATTTCTTTATTTATGCAATCTCCAAAAAAACAGTTGCAGCCATGTTGACATCCAAAGAGCAAGGCTTTGGAACAGGAAGTAGTATAAGCAGTCAGCTAGGGAGACATCATTTATTCGAACAATATACTTGTGATAACAGTAGTGACATCTAACCTTGTGACAACCATACAAAAGGACAAAAATAATATTTAAAAAGGTCAAACATATTTAAATAATTTGTAATACTTACTCTAAGCTTATCTGTATAGATTCATGCAAAAAATGTCTGACAAAAACTAGTTTGTGATTGAAACTGAATATCATGAAGTTGGGCCATCAGGCTTGTGACAAGCAAAAATGGGCAAAATTTGACACTTCAAAGTCATTTTTTTGCGTTTAACTATATTTTATTGTTGTATTTTACATTGTAGTATGTTGAGACAAAAGGAACAAACAATTTAAGATTAAAACACAATTTTTTAGTAACATAATTAATGAAATACTAACATATAACAAAAAATCTCACAAATTTTGGAAATGACTCATATATATATATAGGCCTAGGTCTATGTAAGGTATCCAAGTAGATCTTGATAAAATTGCCCACACCTGTAATACGCAGTGATCATTTACAAAAAGAGCCGTCCTTTCATTTCGCCCTTTATCCAGAAAATGTTCAAAATTCGCAAGTAACTATGACATTAAAAAAACATGGCGAAACCGCATTATCGGTGGTTCGAGAAGGGAGCTAACTCCGTTGAAAAACTGGTCAATGCTGAATGTTGATGTCATTGAGTATATTGTCATATGTGCGTTGCTATAGGTCTATCTGTATTTACCTCATGGGAAATCACAGGAGGCTCATCTCTCAAAAAAATGTTTGCAAGTAACTTAACATCAAGAATTTCTATATACAAAGCCACAAAGCCTTCGTAACTTACACATATCGTAAGAGTTTACGATTGAAATTAAGATACTTTTACTAATATTTACGACCGATCCACAAAGCGTTCTTAATCCGTTCGTAAATTCATCGTCTTACGATCATTGTCGTAAATTAAGATTGTCGCTCTCCTGTGATGGAGGTAAGAATATAGGGGGATTCCCCAATGACGTCATTAATTTACAGGGGAATCCCTTAACTCTATTAGCAGACGACGCCAGTCATATTATCAACCGATCATGGATTGTAGTCAACCATTGACATTGAAACGCCCAAGGAGTAAGAATTGGACTAACAGTGAGTTAGCCCTTCTAATAGAGGGTGTTCAGTCGAAGAAAAACGTGTTGTTTTTGTCGTTTAGCAACAATTTGACGAACAGCATGAAGAAGAAAGCATGGGAGGACATTTCACAGAGGTGAGTGATTTAATGAAATTGTGTGTGTGTGTGTGTGTGTGTGTGTGTGTGTGTGTGTGGAAGGGGGGTGGGGGATGGGGTGGGTCATATGTCTGGTATAAACTGGAGTACAAATATGTAAATAATGATCACGTAAAACATCGATGTTTTATGTTGAATATTGCAGAGCGAGGAAAGCGTTCTGACGGTAAATATCTGTAGGCTATCTCACCAACCTGTCAACAGGGTCTTACTTCATCAACCCGTCTTTGGTAATAACTTGATGCAAAGGATATACATAAGCTGGAACTAGCGCTGCAGTGTCACGGGCAGCCATTTTGACACTTAGAAACAGTGTTAGAAACTAAGAGTTTTGGTCCACTAGTCCTTATAATGATAACATATAGCAAAACCCTTAAAATGGGCCAATTTCGACTAGTCCTTAGGATACCTTTACTATTGGGTAGTTTGGTAAGGACTACAGGACTAGTGCCAATTTCTAACGTTGTAGAAAGGGACACAACTCTATCCGTATTTTAGAGGAGACATTCTCTCGATACATTATGTATATTCTTGACTTATCTTACTAAGTTCACTTATCTTGTTTCAGCATCAGTGCAAACAGTGGTGTCAAGAGACTCTCCCAAGATGTTAAAAAGAAGTGGATGGACTACAAGTATGTGTATAACACACAGAACAATTTTGAACAATCGGGGACCTGCACTCTGATTTCTTAATCTCACTTTGAGGCATGCTAAAATAATATTTGTTTTATTGTTACCTCACTACTAATGGAATTGGATCTTGATGAATCTTGGTAAACAGTGTTTATTCAGACCCATTTATTTGTGTTATTTGGATAACTATGTCAAATGGGAATCATTCTGACTGATTCTCTCCCCAGTGACAGTCCTTTGTGTGGCCCAGTGGTGTTTGTCATGCCAGGACCTGCCTGTCACAGGTTCAAAGACCAATCATAATACATAGCTTGTCATCCTCGTACAGTGCTTATGCATTTCATTAGTGGGAAACCACTACAAGCCTCTGTCACTTTGAGCAGACGCAGTGTGATATGACTGAAACACTGGCTAAAGCAGAGTTAAACTCAACTCACTCACTCACTGATTAGGGGAATAAAAACATAAGACAAAATTGTGCCTGCAATTAAAATCGTATTTATTAAGTCCATAAAAAATAAGTTGTCTTATTCATTGTGTGTCACATATTTAAAGGGGAAAACAAATACATTGTTTTACACTTAAAGTGGCCTCCACCTCCCCATATAGCCACACCTTCACCACCAAAACATATCCACTGAAATAAAAAATAGTAATCATGGTAATTACTGGCAGTTCAAATTAGCAACAGGCAGTCTGTACATTGTTGATATATATACTTACCATGCAGATTATACATATCAATAAACATCAGTGATTTGTTATGACTGCTAAGTTGTGCAGTAAAACCAAATTTGGCAGATTTGTATTTATTTTTTAACAAGCAAACAATTACTAGTAAAGGTGGCCTCCACCTCCCCTTATAGCCACACCTTCGCCACCAAAACATATCCACTGAATAAAATAACAATAATCATGGTAATTACTGGCAGTTCAAATAAACAACAGGCAGTCTGCACATTGTTGATATACTTACCATGCAGATTATACATGTTGTGTGTACCTTTATAATGTAATAGCAAGAGAGAGATGTATAAGTGAAGTAAACTTGGCTTTATGAAATACTTATCAATGAACACCAGTGATTCAATATGATGGCTTAGGAGTGCAGTAAAACCGAACTAATGACATATTTGTATTTATTTTTTAACAAGCAAACAATAACTAGTAAAGGTGGCCTCCACCTCCCCTTATAGCCACACCTTCACCACCAACAAACATATCCACTGAAATAAATAGCACTTGTTGCACGTTATGCTGAGGAAAGAAGGGAGGGGGTTACCATACACAGGATGCCCTTGCCAATAAGAACAAGGGTTGAGGGTGTGCAGGTCCTGGTGCTACGAAACTTCCAGTTAATTACATGAAAAGCTACTGTGGCAACTACCTCTGTCAATGTCAATTAGCAGCTCCCTCTGCTTGCCTAAGGCAACTAACGTTGTAAAAGGATTGTGGCAACTTCCGCCACCAGTGACATGATACCTACCACTGTTGGCCCTGGTAGCAACTACTGCTGCTTGGAGAAAATAGCAGCTAATGTTGTAAAAGCATCGTGGCAACTACCGCTAGCAGGGACATGATAACTACCGCTGCCGGCCTAAATGACAACTACAACTTGTGGGCCAATATATGTGGCAATTGGTTGCCCAACTTAAGCAATGTTTATGATGCCACAAGTGAAAAACCATGAAAGACCATGTTGCCAATGAAAAGCAGGTAAACTCCTAAAATAACAGATCTTTGGTGATAGTGAATTATGAGGAATGCTAATTACTGCCAATTACTGTCAGTATGTAGCACGCTCGCAACCCAAGTACCAAGTTGTCCGACTCCCCATTGTTCTTGGTGCCTTAGGTTTAGTACCTCCAAATCTGTTGACTGACATTGGGAGAGTACCCGGGTATGTTGCCAGAAATACAGCCCTGGGTAATGCAGAAGACTGCAGTGTTAGGGAGTCTTAACATTCTCAGAAATGGTTTGGGACGGTTTAGCTTGGCAGCCCTTCCTGGGAGAAGTCCCATTTGCTGTCTGGGCTGCATGTAGAGGAGGCAAGGACCCTGAGCTGATGATGAGCCTAACAAGCCTGACTGTGCCAGATCAGTCAAATCAAATTGGCTGCATTTTTTGTTTAACCCGTAAAAAATAATAATAATAATAATAATAATAATTATAATAATAATAATACCATCTTTGCCATGCTGGTGGTTTTGACACAGAGGTCCATCCATGGTAAGACCCGCAAGGGCGTCATGGAAAATCATCAATACAAAATTTTTTGGAATAGGCCTCACGCCTGTCCAGGCCAACAAACCTGATCTGGACCTTTTTGAAAAGTCTAATGAAATCATTTTTGTTATTGAATTTTCTGTCTCTTTTGACACTAATGTGATTGACAAGATGGAGGAAAAACATGGCAAATATGCAGATCTCGCTTTCGAAATGTCACGCTTACATCCCAAGAACCAAGTTGTCCAACTCCTCATTGTTCTCGGTGCCTCAGGTTTGGTACCTCCCAATCTGTTGACTGAAATTGGGAGAGTACCCAGGTTTGTTCCTGGGAATAAAGCCCTTCTGACAATATGTGTATTGCAGAAGGCTGCAGTGTTGAGGAGTTTTCACTTTCTCCAAAACATTCTTAGTGGGTTTGACTAGGCAGTGCTTCCTGGAAGAATTCCCATTTGCTGTCTGGGCTGCGTGTAGAGGGGGCAAGAACCCTGAGCTGATGATAAGCCTAACCAGCCTGACTGTGCAAGGATCACCCAAACCCAATTTGCTGCATTTTGTGCTTTAATCTAATAATAATATCTCCTGCAGGACATTCAGCAAAGTCATTTGCACGAGATACAGTGTGTGCTAAATACAGGCGTCAGGCTCAGCACACCATGCCTAATTACCAACCACATAACTACGGTCCTGAAAGAACTGCATTGGCTACCAGTTAGACTGGGAATCTTGTCACTGACAAATCTCTTTCACAGAATCAGATTATGGTTCCAGCAGGTTGTATTTGGGATGCAGACAATCATTTAAGAGTTTCTGGAAAGAGTAGAAGGGCAGGTGGATTTTTGGCTGGAGATGGGTCACTGTTATTGAACACAGATATATATGAAGTTCAAACTAAATCTTGAGTCCTGAGCCAAGGAAGGGGTCACCAAGGTGGATGGAGTTTTGTCTGGAGCTAGATCTTGGATCTCTGTTGCTGGACACAGCGTGGTGTGAAGTGATATATAGATCTGAAATGAAATGAAGCCAAGGTTCACAGCAGGAGAGTCACTGCAACCTTCATTAGATTATTATCCTGGGACAAATTCAAGGAAGAAATCTGTAGAAATACAAAAGAAACCCGACATGAGAACAGGCATTAAAAGTGCAGAAGTGTGGGGGGGTTATGGTAATAGTAAATTGTTTCTTTCTGCTTTTACATGTTTAGTATATTTTGAGCTCTTGCCAAAACTTTCATTCATTCTGGCTGATATCTTGTGACTGGATTCACAGCTGAAAGGAATAGGCTATGAGGATGGATTCACTGAAATCCTCAATACTTGATACTTGGCTGATGGTCTGTGACAGGCTGGAACCACTGCGCCCAGGAACAGGGCTGACAATGGATTTCATCAAAGTCTGGCTGTAGTCTTGTGACAGGTTGCATTCACTGCTGAAGATGGAATCATCCAAATCTGGGCCCAATGACGTCTGGCTGATTGTTTCTTCATCTAGGCTGCATGCACTGGTAACTGAAGGCAGCCTGAAGGTGGCATCATGAAACTCAGAGCCCAATGACGTCTGGCTGATTGATGCTTGATCTAGGCTGCAAGCACTGTCAACCTGAAGCTTCCTGAATGTTGAATCATCAAAATCTGGGCCCAATGACGTCTCGCTGATTGTTGGTAGATCCAGGCTGCATTCACTGTCGACCGGAAGAGGCTGGAAGCGAGAAACAGCGAAATCTGGGCCCAATGATGCCTGGCTGATTGCTGTCACTGTCAACTGGAAGAGGCTGGAAGCTGGAAACATCGAAAACCGGGACCAATGACGTCTGGCTGATTGTTGGGAGATCCAGGCTGCATGTGCTGTCAACTTGAAGAGGCTGGAAGGTGGAAACATCGAAACCCAATGACGTCTGGCTGATGTTCTGACTCAGGCTTGATTCACTGCAAATAGTAACAGGCATGAAATGAGGTGGTGAGAGTTCAGCAATAAACTCTTCGACGATTGAGGTTTGGCTTGCACTGGTGCCAGCAGGGAGGGACATATCACATGGGCTTGGGAATATGTTAGCACTGGTGGCAGGGAGGGACATATCACATGGGCTTGGGAATATGTTTGCACTGGTGCCAGCAGGGAGGGACATATCACATGGGCTTGGGAATATGTTTGCACTGGCGGCAGGGAGGGATGTATGATTTTGGCTGGGGAAGACATGTCTGCTCTCTAATAGAAACATAGAAGGAAGGTCATTAGTGTCAGTACAGTTAGAAGTAAAGTTAGGATAGTCTGAATGAAGCACACTGGTATTTGGACTGAAAAAACCTGCATTATGAATATTCAGATACTCGCTTGGGATGAAGGATGGGAAGGAAATAGGTTGTTCAAACTGTTGTAGGATGCTGTTGTAGAAGATGGAGGATCTAGGGGTGGGGCATATTAGGCTGGTGGACCTCATTGTAGGACAGGAGGGGATGACAGCATCAGTGTCGGGGCAGGGAGGGTCATCCAGGTTCACCCAACTCTCACTGGGACACAGCATGTCTCTGAAGTATCAATGTGGGATTTATTTAGATTCATTTCACACAAAGGACAAAATACAGGTATTGACACGTGTTAAGCTTGTTTACATGAGTGGTTTACATTGTGTACTTATACAGGGATTTTGATGGAGACAATTGGCATGAGGACATTTTCATCATTTTATCAACGATATATAAATATATACCAAATTTTAAAACAATCTGTTGGACATTTTAGATGACAATCCATGTCCTGGAAAGTGAACCGATCTAAAAACCCTGCCTTGATGAATGTAAAAGCTAGAGTTCTTGTGTTTTGAAGTGGGACATGTCAATATTATGTGTGTTGTTTAGATGAGAATACCTCTAGAGTTGATCTTTGCAACAGATCAAGGTGAAACACAGGAAAAACTGTAGAATCCAGATAATCGATCACAACAACAGAAACCTGTCAAAAAGACAGACATGAAGTTACTTATAACATCTTGATGTTTTATCAGTATAAATAGATCGGGCTTTTCTATATCGAAAGATGCTTTTATGTTATAACTATAAGCATATTTCATGGCTAAAAGCTAAATACCAAAGGTCATGAAGACAGTGTTAGCGGCAAAGTACATATCTCCCACACTTGCTAGGCATGTAGTAATGACAATGAGGTAATAAAAAAAACAACCTAGGACCTGTTACAGGGTGAGAAATTAATTATATTGTGATAATTCATCTTTATTTTAACAAGTCCACAAAAAGTATCTGTTTAGAAGAAAGAGAATAATGAGATTAATAATAATGAGGAAGAAAGAAATAACTTCAATAGAACATAAAAGTACATAAAAATGTGTAGTCACTGGTAATGTACATTCATAGTCATTGGACATAGTTACTGACTTTTGATTTGAGATATCAATTAAATGATATCAGTAAATTTTCATGATTTTATCAACCTTTGAGAGGACATTCTTCTATATCACATGTATCATCATTAAATAATGAAAGTAGTTTGAAATCGGACATTTTGACTGACAAGTCAGTTTCCTAGTAAAGCACAATATATTTCTGTGAAAAACTTGATCAGCCCAATTTTGATACACCTTATATATTCCCAGTTTACTGGCCTGCAATTGTCTATTGGCATCATTTCAGTGGGTATTTCTGTTATGATATGGACAACTATTAGCTGACGTTAGCAGACTACAGCGATTTGGGTCAAATATCGGCCTCTGGGCAGGTCTAGGAAATCCCTAGACCAAACGGAAGAATACTGGACTTGAAGTGCAGTAAGGATTCCAACCAGATTTTACTAAAAATATCATTAGACCTTTAGAAGGTCTAATGGACATCATTCTCAATTTTCCAAAGCACATAACTATTACGGGACTGGAAAATATCCCAGTGCGTATGACAGCCTGTGGCAGTAACTTGCTGCTTGCCAAAACCTGTCAGTTTGATGGATCTTCCCTAGACTTTTTTGCGAAAGAAAGCTTTAGCGTTTTAGCCCACAGTAACCGATGACGGTTTAGGCAACACCCCATCATTTTCAGTAGATCTTAGTGTTCATGTATGGACCTTTATTAGCAAAGCTTACTAGACTGAAAGAAAGGTTTACTAGACTTGGGCTACGGACTGGTGGCTAAAGTCACAGACTGTGGTTTAGGTGAATCGATGACGTTTTTGTGTGGGGCCGTTCATAAACATGATCAGAATTGTGGTCAATTTGGGGGTCGAAACAACAGTGGTGGCTCCAGAATTACCGAAATACTCACAACGTGCGTCTAAATATGATAGGCAAACAAGCTGATAAATGAAGGAATAGATAATACAACACTAATCTAAAGGAAAACGTAAGCAAAATGGGCTTCAAAATGTTGAATATTTGCTGGTTGTCAAAGATGGCCTGTTTTGTTTACAATGCCAACAAAGACAAATCCGGAGACATTTCGGAAAGGAATTCATGCAGAATAACATCTACAAACCTGTCTGCAGAAATAATGAAGACGTTTGAACTCAAACAGGTCTCTGAAATCTGTTAAAATAACAACTGAGATAGCAACGATACGCTTCTGTCAACGAAGAATCGTAGGAGCCGGGTCTTGAACTTGTTTTGAACTGTTACCGTAGCAACACCGGAAATAGATTTTAACCAAAAGTTTTTTGTATTCACGAATGGAAATATGCCTCTATGTCCAGTAGAACATTATATAAATCATAATCGCAAAATAAAACTTACATTTAAAAAAAATGTACTGCTGGTTGTCGACTCTCTGTGCGCTGCGTTAACTTTGTAACATGTAGAGACGGAGCCTGGCGGAAAGGAAACTAGTCAACTCGTTCACGCGAAGACCCGCAAAATATCACGCAACATCAATGCCAATCGTTAGCGATATTGGGAGTTAGTCTCTTTTAGGTTTAAACGTGACATGACGGTGCCTATGAAGATTGAAGAAAATATTTATTCAAGGGAGGCTACAACCCTTCGGTACATTAGACGAATGGGTCACCTTCATACTTTTATTATACTAGAAGTGCCGACTTCCTACATTTGCCGCAATTGGTTCGGATTCGGCTGTCCGTATACGCGGGACAGATTACATTCATATTTGTGTGTAAAAACGAAACATAATCACCATGGTTACATACATATAATTAAATAAACACGCGCCTATTTATATTCACAATTCACATTCTGACAAAATGAATCCCAAATAGGCCCAAGTATTATATCCTTTATTTGTAAATACCACACTGTGTTTGTGGGCTTTTACAAAATGTAATAGTCTCAGACTTGCATCACTTCTGGATTTCCTCCCATTCTGAGCAGACACGCCGTTTGTATAACTGAAAAACTGTATAATGCGGCGTGAAAAGTCACCCACTCACTTACATGACATACCGACCCGTGTAGATCCGGGTTAGAATAGGTCTTCTGCACCTGTGCTTGTCGTAAGAGGCGACTAACGGGATCGGGTGGTCAGGCTCGCTGACTTGGTTGATGCTACCAAGACGATTATGTTCAGGCAGTAGTGATATACTCAGAGTATTGATGATTATATTTCTTTCCATCTTTGGCTTGGTTTTTTTCGTGTTTATCACCGCGTTAACGTCACTTCTAAACACTGTGCTCACAGGTTCCTTCTCTGTTTAAGGTAAGCAGGCTCACAGAGTCATTATTTTTACTTTATATATGTGTGTGCATTTAGGAGATAAACCTAGCTATTGTGTTTTTAAATTTGATGTAGTCCCACTGTAGAATAGATACCAACCTATAATTTGGAACCTCGCGCTAAAGCGCTCGGTCAAGCGCTAAATCAAATTTCAAAACACAGTAGGTTTATCTCCATTCTACCACGACGGCAACAACGCTATGAAAACGGCGCTCTTTTGCAACGCGTAATAACACAGGTGCACAGGTCCGCAATTTTAGAACATTCCGAAAAGTGGTCACGGGTAGTTATATATGTAACAACTATTACTAAAGTTCAAGATTAAAAAACACTATAGTCGTGAGTAGTTCATAATAAGTGTTCAAAACACATAGTTTTTCAAAAATCCAAAGAGAGATGTTTTAATTTCAATCAAACTGTTGCACACTGTTGTACACTGTGGACTGGCTGTCGTTTCTCGGAAATTTGTGCGAGAGGTCATTTCTTTGGAAATCGAACATGCCACATGACGGGTAATAGAAAAAGGTTTTAAAATGCTAAACGAATATATTTAGGCTGCAGACGGGCCGGATATTTTTAAATGAGGAATCTGCAGCCTAAACAGCGTCTGTTCAGTCATACTCAGTTGCATTAGTAATCATATGGATGTCCCGCAGGCTCGATCAATCCCAGTAAATCTGCTTCTTTCAACTAGATCTAGTTAATGTAAACACATGATTGTCAGCCATTGACAACTGTGAGGTGTGGAGTAACCGTGATATAGGTCAAGTTCTGCCACATCCAAGTTCGGGGTGGAGAGGCATTTACTTTGATGATATTATTGTTTACTGGGGGTAATTGCTGACTAACTAATAACTCTTAGTCATGTTAAATGTATATTAGAATGTTAATTCATAACGTTTGCTGTAGAAATATATTCGTTTAGCATTTTAAAACCACCGTCCGATCTCATAAATCGCCAAGGAGTTTGTAGCCATACACTAACATATTTTATATATGTATTAACATACTGGAAAACGTGTTTCAACTTTAATCTAGTCGCGTATAAAGACAATAAATTGATTCAGTGCAAATCATGTGCAAAGTGAAGTACAGTAAGGCATATTTCATTCAAAATATGTTTGCACATCTGCATGTTGATAACTCGTTGAGTATGCTTGTTGCGTCTCATTTGAAACAGTCATTGTCCTAATTTTATTTCTTAATTATGTATTTGGTGTTTCAAGAATATGTAGATCTACCATATTTTTGCTCATGATAAAACTTTGCCTTCATAATCATCTTTCATAAATTGTCAACATCATGTTGAATTATTCATGCAAGTTATATTCAAAACAGGTGCATTATACAATCATGACCATCACTAAGTCTTGTATTACTTACTCAATATCACTATCAAGAAAACTGTTTCACATATCTTTAACAAGTGTTATTAATTGGTGTTTTGTATGTTTAAGGCAGTTTCTTCAGAATTTCCAATCTTCAGCTTTATCATCAGCATACTTCATTATATGGACCGATGTCATTGCATGCTACAAGGTATGATGTTCATGTTGATAATAATAATATTTTCATAATAATACCTTAATAATTTTATGCTTTTGTTTGTGTGAACATATTCACAATATCTGATATACCATATCATGAAAGTGACAGTTGGAATGTGTTTTCTGACATGGACAGACATACACATACACATCAAGAAACAGTATCATAAATCTGTATTAAGGTAGCGGCCATAACATTTCCGAGTCCCGTGATGGGATTCGAACCACGGACCTTCTGATTTGAGGTCGGACGCCTTGTCCACATGACCAAAGAGGTTAACCCCTTCAGCAAGCTGACAAGGTAAGGATGTCATCTGTGGGATGACTCCACGCCCTGCTACATACTCCCCCGTCAACAGAAGGCACGCCCCGGGCCGCATAGTAGGGTACTGAGGCTTATTTTGCTCAAATTTAATATGAACGTGCTCAGCCCCACGTTGGGCGCCAATGTAACGGCCATAAAATTTCCGAGTCCCGTGATGGGATTCGAACCAGGGACCTTCTGATCTGAGGTCGGACGCCTTGTCCACATGACCAAAGAGGTTAACCCCTTCAGCAGGCTGACAAGGTAAGGATGTCATCTGTGGGATGACTCCACGCCCTGCTACATTAATATGCTTACATACAGGAAAATTAACATGTGTATGCAATGACAAATTGAAATGTATTTCGTTCCATGCTTCCAGCCTGGTATCAGCTGAATTTGACTCTTTCTTAAAGACAATACAGTGTCTTGAATCTATTAAGCAAACTATTCATAAACTTGTCACTGTATTGTAGCCATGTAGATAGCATTTTAAAGGTGTATTGAAATCCCTTGTTATCTGTTTTTTACTTCATTTCATATTCCAGAGTCTAAAATGCGTCACATTTCTGCATTTTGTGTACTGTCCACTTCTTTTTGCGTGTCAGAGTAGATAAAATTGATCCAGTTATCCTCCCAGAGTTTGGCCTGGATCCTACTCGGAATTGCTCACAATCATTTGTCTCTGGTATATTGCAAAAGTGTTATGTCATGTTCAGAGTTCATTTTTATTTTGTCTTACCAAAACTGAATTAATTTTGTGAGTAACATCAAGCGACTTTGATTCTTTTAATCCAACTTTGATTGGCACCTTTTGATGTAACCTGGAAGTGCCGCCAAGTTATTCCATGTACAATTGTATCAAAAACTACTACCTAATACATATGTGACGTAAAATGTCCTGCAGTGTGAAATTTGAACTTCTCACAACTGTCAATGCGGCCAATTCAACTTTGAGCAAAAGGTACTAGATAGTGAAGTAACTTAATGTTTACAGTGAGTCCAAGGTTCGATGTAGGGCTGAGTAATTATAACTTGAAATAAGGAGTCAATATAATGTGTATTTTTATAGCAAGGTGATTGGAACCCATAGATAAGGTTTGAGCTAACAGATCAGTGATAACGGTATTCGGTATTCGACTATAATTATTTCATAAGCATGATCATTTTTTTTATTTAATCCATTTATAGTGTGTGAAAATATTCATAGTTAATATTATTACTGTTATATATTATCAAGAAATCGCTTACTTTTTGCCCAATATTTAGATAAAGGATAATAAACTTGTTTATTCTTGGGTAATTGTTATCTTTCCAGACAACATCATGCTCCAGTGAAGTATGCTGCTATGATCAAGCTGAACCTTGGCTAATTGGAGACCATATGCTAATGATATTATCCAAAACCTGTTGCATGGCTAAGTACATTAATTTTGTAATCCACTTTGATGGAACATTTTGTACATAACAACAATAATAACAACAACAACAATAATAATAATTTATGTTTCATTACTTGCTAACCTGACTGAAAATTGAGTGAGCTTACATCATTGCTTGTTTGTCCAGAATCTACCATGCATTGTCTACCATACTTTATGAGCCATTAATAATTTTATCATTGTGATTATTGTTATTGTTGTTCTATTCCCTTTATGACTACTGTTTCAATACACTTGAAGGTAGTTAGAAAGTTTGTGTAGTCAAAATTTACATACCTGTTCCAGTTCCACTTTCAGAATGTTGTGCAAACTGCAATTTTCTGAAGTTTTAAACTTGCAATAAGGATTTTGTTTGACCCAAATTAAAGAACCATACATGAAAAATAGTGGCAAGCAAATGCTGTTAACATACTATAAAGAAGAAAAGTTAATATTTCACTCTTTCTTTAATAATGCAAACATAGTTTTTGTTGCAATTTCCATTAACATTTGTATTGCTGTTGTGAATACCCTAACATGTTTATTGGTGAGATATTCTCTGTTATTGTTGTGAAAATGAAGAATATAAGAACAAATAATACAGAATATTAATACACAGAAATAGAATACATAGTTTACACTAACAGCCATACAACAACCACATGTATCGCG